AACTTTGCATTCAACCATTGTTTTACAATTACATCGCAATTCTAGTTTAATTTGCATTTTATTTACAATTTCATATTAAAATCACAAAAACTACCCATTTGAGTTTTATAGTTTCGGTTAAGGTTACAACAATAGAAATTAGATTAGATCAATCCTCGTGGGAACGATACTCGAAATTTTACAATTTCCACTTTAATACTTGTCAACGAACCGTACACTTGCGGTGGTTTAAATTCGAAACATATTTTCGTGAACAATTTACTGTGTTTTTTTGTTGTTGTTTGCAATCATTTTATGATAGCGGTACTCCAACCATTTCCTTAAGTGTAGAACGACACTACAACCGTTATATTTCATAAGCGAAATACAACTATTATCTGTTATGTATGAAGACACTATGTCCATTATTTGCAACTATGGATTTCTATAGAAATGATACTGGTACAATGATGTTATTTTTTTGAGTTTGAGAAGATTGAAGAATGAAAAAAATGTGGGTATTTTTTATGTTCAAACCAACATTGCGTATATAGAGTTGTACAACAAAGTGCAAGAGCTAGTTCACATAAATTCAATTTCATATGAAATCGAGATGATGTTTCTTAGAATCGACGAAGTCATAATGGCAAACATGTTATTTTTTGTTATAGTAAAACATCACTAGTATCTAAAATTACCACTCCAACAAAAATCTTCTAACAAGAGAAGCCCATGTATTATAGAAAATAATTATACATACACTTTAGGGACTATTGTTATGCTTTGTCATCGAAGCTCCAAACTAAGCTTACGTTGTAGTTCACGTGGAGACATAAGTCAAAGATGACTAAAAGTCAACAAAGGCCCTGATGGGTTAGAGTGGGCAAGAGAAAGTTTTCGAAACTCTCCATTCAGAAACTCTCCTTCCGAAGCTCCTTCATTTCGAAGCTTCCTTTGGCCGAAGCTATTGCTAGCTCTTAAAAAGTTTGTAGGAAATCTTTAGGAATGATTAATATGACGTTTGTAATAATGAATGTGTCAAGTCTGGGCCTAAGTTGTAGGGCGATTGACTCGTTTTCAATATATTAAATGCGTAGCAGGCTAGTGACGTGATACTTCAACCAAGAGATGAAGTTACATGGTTTTTATCCAACGAGTACCACTTCGACCAAAACTCTATAAATATCAACTCTTATAACATTTGAATCTAATGTAACTCTTTATACAAAAGTTATTCTCGATTTCTCTTGCTTACTTCGTATTCTTGTTTACTTGAGTTAAGATCATTTTGTTTTGGTTGAGTCGTTTGTGGTTGATTATTAATATACAACCATCTTTAAATATGCCACTGATGTCTGAACATTCTTGTCTTGTGGCATAGAATATTTCCCATGCCCATATACAGTATCCTTCTCTGACCAAGTTTCCGATCAAAGCGTATTGAAATTTGCTTGCATGGATGTGAGTGAGCCCAATATCTATTGTCTATATCACCTTTACAAAAAATGAGGTCAATAGTATTTCTTAGGGTACTTCCATCTTTAATGCTATCCCAAAACACCATTTTGCACCAAAAAATGGTGCAAACTCTCTCCAACCTTGCTTCATACTTTGCACCTTTTTTGCACCAAAATGGTTAAATTTTCTTTCACTTGAGAGCAAGAAAAAAAATCAAATGATTGTTTTTTAACCAGCGCCCCC